CCACAATTACATTTTTGGCCTGATTCTCAGTCATGATTTCCATCAGCTACATTGATATAAGGGATTATTTCACAGGTTCCAGAGAGACTTTTTTTCTTCACCCATGAATTGTGAGTTCAAGGCTCTAAACTAAACTTTTTGTTTCTATTTCTGTGTGTTTCAACTTAGGAGCATGCATTGTCAACAAATCAGCAAGTACCAAATTTGAGCCCACAAAACGTACCCATTACCAACCCTTCTTAACACGTTAAAATCAATGATAATTTGAGGAATCATGATACCCAGGTATGAAACACATTTCCAGTGTCCTATTTTCTTCTGTCAGAAGGTAGCCATAACTCACCTTAACTACAGGAACTCTTTCCTAGGCTATGCCCTGATATCAACACAGATTCACTCAGTTTCCCTGCAAGTAACAAAATTCTCTCCAGATGTTTCAAATTTTCCAGAAGAAAATACTTATAAACATCTGGACAGTAAAAAAGGGAACAGAAAGGAATGGTGAGGCACTCACAGATTAGCAACAGGAGAAATTATTAACAAAGAGATGGGGGAGGAAGAACTATTTCCAGAGATGAGTAAGAATTGGAACTGTGGAGGGAGCCAAATGACAAGAAATGCAGTCATGGAAGGATGCACCAGTTGCAAACTACGTTCCTTCCCTGCTGTCTGCAGTGATCTCCACTCCTGATTGTATCCATCTTTTGCAAACTATATATGAAACAGGAGAATTTTCGTTTCCAGTTCCAAGAGAGGAATCAAGCACCTACCAAAGTAACAAAAGACATCCTTTTCACATAATCTTGTCTCTTTCCTATCACCTCTTTAAAATATCAAAGTAACCCCACTTCTCCTTCAGAAATAATCCTAGGAACTTTTGCTAAACATTAACACTTGGTTTTTAAAACTCTTTTAGAAAACCTTCTCTCTCCATTTTCCTGGCTGTGGTCTAGTTTGAGTTTTATTTTTTGTTTTTCTCCTTAGATGTTAACTTCCGGTTTTATATCAGTTAGCTTTTGGAAAAGGAAATGAAGAATCTTCATAGTCCGTGGAATTAGAAATACCACTTCAGCAGAGACTATAAATTGGAACTCTTTATATCTTGCTTGGCAGTTAACCATTTGGAGAATAAATGGCTCTTCGTGAGCAAAATAGCAGGGATGGGATCCCTGATCCCATATTCCTGGACAATGCACCTCATGTGCATCCACCACCTGTCTGTCAGTGGAGGCTTGCATGTTGCTATGATACTGAATAGGTCTTAGTGGAACTTCCAGACTAAGATAGACTAGGAAGAAATTTCTGGCTGTCTACTTCTAAAAATCAGCCAATGAAAACCAATCTGCAACTGATCATGGTGAAGCACCAGGCAGCATTTTGTTCCATCATGCATGGGGTCATTATGAGTTGGGGCAACTTGATGGCAGCTAACAACAACGACACATGAGGTGAAGTCTATGTGGCTTTGTAGATATGACAGTTAAGCAATTTGATTACAAAATGTCCCATATCTAACTTTCTCAACATATTTTCTGTTACATTTAATGAATCTACTTTAGGTACGGAGTCAGGCCAATTCTTCTATATTCTGCAGTAAAGTAGAGAGCTCCTAAAAGGAAAGAAAAAGTAATCTTTGGAAGACAAACCTTCCAGATGGTCTATAGAAAAGAGGTATTCCTTTACTTTTTGAATACGAATGATTATGAGAGAAGATCTGCTATTTCTCTATTCAGGAGAAGTATCAGTTGATCAAAGAAATTTCTTTGAATGAATAATATATTATTTTGGGTACATTCACTACATGGAATCTGGTGCCTCAAAATAGTTTGAAAAAATATATTCAAAAAAGAGGCGTAGTCAGCAATGCTATTCTTTACCAGGAGTCCACATCCACAATTGGTTATAGTAAGAGTAATGGGTGTGTGAAAGTGGGTGAAGAAGGAGAACTCTTTATACACATGATGCACATAAATCCAACACTGCATGAAAGATACAAATATCTGGAAGTAAAATTGTTAATATTTTCTAAGGATGATTTTTTTTCCTGTGATGGTGGTGGAGAATGCACATTTTTCTTAAACTCATTGCCATCAAGTTGTTTTCAACTCATAGCAACCCTTAGGACAGAGTAGAACTGCCCCATAGGGTTTCCAAGGCTGTAATCCTTACGGGAGCAGATGGCGGTATCTTTCTCCTATGGAGCAGCTGTTAGGTTTGAACCACCAGCCTTTTGAACAGCAGCCAAACACTTAACCACTGCGCCACCAGAGCTTCTTCTGAGGGTGCACAGGTTGTTGTAACGTGCAGTCAAGTCAGTTCCAACTCATATCAACCCTATGTACAACAGAAGGAAACATTGTATGGTCCTGCACCATCCTCACACTCGTTGCTGTTTGAGCCCAGTTTTGCAGCCACTGTGCCACCAGGGATCCTTCTGAGAAGGCACGTATCCATGTATTATTAATAGACAGTTAGTTCCTGATTTATGATGTCATATTCAAGTTACAACAAACTGCACTTATGACCATCTGTTGTTGTTTTTGTTGGTTTGTTCGGTTTTTTTTGTACATCTTATTGTTAGTAATATGTACTACATACAATGTTGCAGTGTATAATTTTATGTTATTCTCAGATATTCACTGGCAGATGTTCAATTTTATGATTTACTGTTCAAAACACTGCCATATAGACTTAGTTTTCCAAACTAAATCAGGGGCTTCAGTTGCTTGAAAATGTGGGTCCCAACACTGATTGCTATGCTGAAGTCTATAGGCAGGTATCGAGAAGCAGAGAGATGTTACTGCGAGATATATGAAGAAAAAAGAAAAGGACCATACAGACAACTCTCAATAATTTTCTGACTCGAAACGCCATCCACATTCCCAGGGATAATCCAGATGATCCAGAACCTTACATAAGTAGAGTTATTATCACAACTAACAAAATGTCATCTTCCAACTCTTCTTCATTGCTGGCGAAATTTTATGATTTGTGTGTTATTTACATACGTATGTATTAAAATATATCTGTAAGTTTATATGTAATATTTCCAGCCCCCAAAGACAAATAAAGATAGTATTTATAAAGATACTGATAATAAAAGGCAATAATAATAAAAACAAAAAAATGAGGTATTAATGTCAGAACCGACTAACAATGACGTGGTTGGAACAGAACCCGAGTGTAAATTGGGAACTACCTGTATATTAAATATAATTTTTAGTTATTCAACAAAGATTATGTATATTAGATACTTTCATTTTTACTGTGTTAAAATATTTTATACTGCAATAGGATATAGTTTATATATATATATAATTTTGAAGCATAGTAATTAAAAGAATAACCAAGAATTCAATACCAAACCTAAAAACTAGAACATTATTGTTAATGCTGTTGAAGCTCCCCCATGTGTTCCTCTCTAATCCAGTTCTCCTATCTCTCCTTAGAGCTAAGCACTATCACGAGTTCCTTGGTTTTAATTCCTTTGTGTTAATGTTTTTCTTGTCACATAAATATGTATTCTGGAGTTTTAAAAATGAAGTCCTATGTGTATGATAGCCATTTCAATGCATTTGACTTTCTCCAGTAAGCATGCTTCTTTACAAGTGTCCTGCCCGTGTAGTATTTCTAATGGAGCACTTTCTGGGATATAAGGGAATTGTTGGTCAACTTGTTTAAATTTAAACATATAAGCTCGATTAACACAGAACTATATCATATTTGTCTCTTTCTCACTATATACAGATGAAGAAAATGGATTTAATAGGCACTATGAATTGTTTATTTAATGTGTATATGTAAAAGGAATTAAAGGATAAATAATTCAGTAGATGGATGAATGATTAGCCAGACCTTATCCTCCTGAATCTCGTTCTCCTTACCCAAATTTATGTATCCAAGGGACATAAAAACATTTCTGTAGAAATGTCATCATTAGATCAATCACTAAAGAAAGAAAATCTCAAATAGATCATATTTATTCCCAAACATGTGGCTAATTTTGTATACCACATTTTAGCTAATGGCATTATCTCCTTTCTACTTATCCAGGCAGAAACCCCATTAGTATCTTTGCTCGTATATATTTTTCCAGCCTCAGATCTAACCAGTAATCACAAAAATGGACTCTATTCCTCACTTGTACTATGATCAAGCCTCAGGTCCTTATGATCCCATGCTTGATCCCATCCTTGGCTTACTAATATACTTTTTAAAATCATTTTCCCCACTTTTAAACTCATGCTTTACATTCAAACTATGTTTAGCTTCCAGAATTGCTTGATAAAGAAAAAAAATTGATCTTGTGACTGCCCTTCTTTAAAACCTGAGTAATTTATCTTTGTCTATAAGTTAAAATACAGGTCAAGTGTGCCTTTAAAGGCTGCTTGAGGCCTCCTATTTCGATCTAGTTTTCTCCTATAACCTCATGCACACAACTCACTCTGTTATCCTTACCTACTGGAGTCCTTTCCAAATATCCATGGATTGTTCATGTTCTTCTAGTCACTTGGAATTCTTTCCTTTTATCACACTATGCCTAGATCCTACAAATGCTTTCCACTCTCAGTGTCTATGTTACCTGCCTTACTAAAACTTTTCCTGATAGCTCCATATAGGTTTAATTGTGTATTTCTCTGGGCTTCTGAGATAATGCACCATTCATATGATTCTCATCAGAATATTCTCCAGTGTACATTATTTAGGTGTGTTATCCCAAACTAGTACATGTGGAGAAAACAGTTGAAGATTTGTATTCTCTTAAACCACCAGACACATTCCAATTTAGGTAGTTTGGAATATGTGTGTGAGGACGTTTGTATGTGTGTGTTAATGGAACCTTTTTTTTTTTTTTAATTACCCATCTAGATATTGAATGTACCTTTATTTTAAATATTTTAATTTTTATGTTCTTACAATTCTGGAAAAATTTTATACTAGATATTTTTGCATTTCTTTTTCTTTCCCCAATAAACATTAATTAAACTTACAACCAACCAATGAATTTTTTACCTTTAAATATTCATTTTTAACTTGTTCTGTGCCTAGTTGCCACTTGAAGTCTGTACCTAGCAACATTCAAAACCCTGTAGGCAGTGTTTGAGGCAGCTGCTGTCATGATATCTGAGAAGTGGGTTTTGGCTCTTTTGCGGCTTTTGCTGCTACAGCTGTGCTGAACCTGTGGTGGACTCTGTGAGAAGATCCTGGTGTGGCCCTGTGACATAAGTCACTGGCTCAACATAAAGATCATTCTGGAGGAACTCACAGTGGAGCCAAGGAGTGATGGTATTGTCCCATTCGCTCATGTTTCTGGACCTAGCTATTAATATCATGCCAAACTTGTCATTCTAGCAATCAGTGATAAAATTGCAAAAATTCCTTCTTCGAATAACCAGATGTACTAAAATTCTGGGTGAAACTATAGTCTGAAATCAGACACTCATGAAGAAACTCCGGGAAACAAACTACAATGTAATGATTATAGACCTTGTGGTGCCCTGTGGAGAAATGGTAGCTGAGTTGCTTGCAGTCCCCTTTGTGTTTACACTAAGATCCTGTATGGGTGGCACAAAGAAGAAAATCTGCAGGAAACTTCCAGTTTCACCTTCCTACATGCCTGTTCACACGGTGGGACCAACAGGCAGAATGACTTTTCTGGAAAGGGTTAAAAATATAATGTTATTTCTTGGCTTTGACATGTGGATTCAGAAATATGATATGCAGTTTGGGAACTGGCTTTACACAGAAGCATTGGTAAGAGACTGCTTTTCATTCTAAAATAGTTTTCAAAAGAAAATTAGAAAGATTTAAGTAAGATATAGGTAAATGAAGGGAGTACACTTTTAAAATCTGTCTTCTGGGAATATCTATAAGTGATTGCAATGGACCAATTATTAATAACTAATTAGGAAAGTGGTCAATAAATCCCTTGCCATGGTTACTCTTTTTTATAGTCATAGAACTGATTCTCGTAAAGTACTTTGATATATAAAATTTCTTGCCAAAAATAAAACAAAATTAAAAACACAAAAGAAAACTTAATATTCTGGAAGACCTATTGTTTGTTAGATATTGTTTGTTAAATTCTGACACATAGTAGGCCTAGAGGACAGGGTAGAACTGCCCCACAGGGTTTCCGAGGCTGTAGTCTTTATTGGAGCAGATTGCCAGGTCTTTTCTCTCACAGAGCCACTGGTGGGTTCAAACCACTGACCTTTTGGTCAGCAACGGAGCACTTAACCATTGTGCCTCCGAGGATCCTTTGCCAGATATAGGATATCATATATAAAACCAGTACTCTGAGTTTTTATATTAGAAAAGTTGTAGCTCTTAACGGTTATAAGAGTATTGTGTGTTTTTTTTTTTTTTATTTTTTGTAAGAGTAAGATAATCTCCTGCCTTACACCAATAATAAACTGAAATGTGATTTACTTTAATAAAGACATTGACTTTGATACTTTCTTCATTTTACCAGAATTTTGTTCACAAATTTTTGAGGATCACTGATTATTACTAAAATTTCTGTCATTCTCGTTGGACCATTGTACCCACTATTCTTATCCCTCTCATGGATTTGGGATAAAACTTTAGAAAGTTGTATGTGGACTGTTTTACCACGTTTATCACATTGATGTTTCCTAGAATGCTTTATACTTCTTGAAGAAGTGTTACACAGAGACCTGAAGAATTAAACAGGAAACTCTAAAGTCCTCTGTCTCTTGAGGGGTTAAAAGGTAGCAGATCATTACTTCATTGATTGACACTTATTTTACATATTTTTAGTGCTTGCCTTTCCAGCTAAAAAAAAAAAGATTTTGCTTTGTAATCTGATCCTGTCAACTCAGGCAGGCTTCCCCTCTAACTATCTTTGAGAATTGTGCAGAGATACGAGCTAACAAAGTAGCATATTAGGCTAAACATATTAACAAACTTAATTCACTGATTTTCCAATAGCTGCATTGTTTCACAGAATGTATGTTCAAGGCAACTCACTTCAAAAGTCCTGAGCTTTAGGCATGATTTGAATTTACAAGTATTATTCATTATAATTAATTTAAAGAACACTACCTGTGAGTAGGCAATATCCTAGGCTCTATAGATGATGGCACAGTACTGGGCAAGGTTTTGTTTTGTTATACATAAGACCACTATGAGTCTGAGTCGAATCGATGGCAACTAACAACAACAACATGGATATAAGGCAAATAAGGCAAGAATCTTGGCCTCAAGTCAACCCTAAGAAATAATTGGAAGAGTAGAATTATAAATAGTCCACAAAGAGACTTTGGTATAAGATTGTGAATACAGCCTTGGGAAACACACAAGCTGACGACAAGAACAGAGCAATTCATAAGAGAAGGGAAGACAAAATCACATTCCATAAGCAAAAATGTGTGCTGGTCATGAATTTAGGAAACTCTAAAACTCCACCCATCTCATTTGACCCACAGGGTGGGCTTCACATAATGGCATAATTCAATAACAGTATTTACTTGAAAGGTCAAGTTTTTTAACTTATAGATTATTATATAACTTTATAGAATAATCCATTGTGTTTATAACTCAATTGTATATGAATAATATAACTAAAATTCACTGTTTTGATCCACAGTTGCTAAAACATAACCTTTCAAATGAGTTTTATGCAATTATTTACCAACTTTTGTAAACCTTTGTTCAGTTTCATTCTCTTTTATTTAATTTCTCTATACTTGTTATTGTAAATCAGTGCTTTAAGTGTAAGATTTTGGTAAATGCTTTAAGCTCTTTCTTTCTTAAAATGTGGCCTAAATGTTATGCAATTCAAAATCACCTAAGGAGGTGGAAATAAAGGAATATTTTTAGGCACAGGGAAAAAGACATTTAAAGGACATAAACACATTGACCCTGAACCTGTGAGATGGGGTTCTCATTCAATTTCTGGCAATTTGACTCTGAGTGTCCTAGGGCATAGCTTCTTCATTATCAAATTTAAAACATTGCACTTGATGATCTCAGATACAATTTCAAACTCTGAAATGTGAGGCTGTCCACACTGAGGTGTATATAACCACCAACTTTGATTAGAATGATCAGCAGGAAAGGATTCTCATCTAGGTTTTCACTTTTTTTTAATTAAAAAAAGCATGTTTTTTTGTATATAGAAACGGTTGACCTAGTTGTTTGCAAATAGTCATTCTTCTCCTCAAAAATTCTGAGAATATTATACTAAAATCTGTCCCTCTTCAAAGAATATTATTTAAAGACAACACTAAAGGAAGTATGTGATAGTGGTGTCATGCACAAGCGTACCTCAAATTCCAAAGATGAGGTCATCATGGATGTGAATTACTCAGGGAATTCTTACTGTGATGCTATTAGTCTTTCAATAGCAGTGATGGAATTTGACTCAGGAAGTAGACTGATATTGGTGAGATCCTTCAACCATCTGTGGGACCCGAGGCTATAAGAAGCTTGGGTAGGGACACATGTTTGACTGGAGACCACTGACAAGTGTTTGGGGCAGACATAGATATATTGGGGCTAATTTTTCAACAATCAGTTGCAATTGAGTAGATTCTGACTCATGAAGACCCCATATGCAGTCTGAAATTGATGGAACATGCAATAAAGACAAATTGATAATTACCAGGAATTGGAATACAAAAGTTGGAAACAAAGAAGAAGGATCAGTAGTTGGAAAATATAGCCTCAATGATAACAATGAGGCCTAAGATCACATGATAGAATTCTGAAAGAGCAACAACTTATTTATCAGAAATACATTTTTTTCAAACTACACCATTGATAAGTATACATTTGGACTTTGCCTGATGGATTATATAGGAATCAAATCAACTATCTGTGGGAAGAGGCAATGGAGAAGCTCAATATCATCAGTCATGATAAACCAGGGGCTGTCTGCAGAACAGACAATCAATTGCTCATGTTCAAGTACAAGTTGAGGCTGAAGAAAATAAAAGCAAGTCCATGAGGGCCACAAGACAACCTTGAATACATTCCACCAGAATTGAGACCATCTCAGAAATTTGACACATTGAACACTAATGACCAAAGACCAGAACAGTTGTGGGAAGACCGGAAACATATCAAACATGAGTGAAGTGAAAGATCATTAAAAATACAAGAAAGAAGGAAAAGACCAAAATGGATGTCAGAAGAGACTCTGAAACATGCTCATAAGCACAGAGTAGCTAATGCAAATGGAAGAAGTAAAGTAAAAGAGCTAAACAGAAGATTTCAAAGGGAGCTTAAGGAGACAAGGTAAACCATCGTGAAAAAATGCACGAAGACCTGGAGTTAGAAAATCAAAAAAGAATGTCACAGCTTTAAGGCAGACTGCCTTGCCCTCACAGATGTCTCAGGTTTTGCTTTTAGGGCCTTTAAATAACTGGATCAGGCCAACCCTCCTTATCAAATGTAATCTCCTTTATTAAGAGTCAACTGATTGTCATTGCTAATCACATTAGCGAAGTACTTTCACAGCAACATCTACACTAGTGTTTGCCCAACCAACTGGACATCATAGTCTTGCCAACTTGACACATAAAATTAACCATCACATTCCAACTCTTGTCAACTTTGCACCCATACACATCTGCTTAAACAAGATGTAACCTCCATATTAAGAATATAACAAAGTCATACCTCTGTCTAACATAATACAACAACCCTGGGAACAATAAAAAAATGCATTAACCCTTTTCCCAAAAAAGGGTGCAGTGACCATAGTGGTGTTTCCTCTTATTGATATTCTGTAACTTAAAAACTATGATATAAAGTTAATACTCTTTAAATACTATGATGTAAAATTAATATATCTTATTGTATATGATAATAAGAAAGGAAAGAAAGTGAATATATTTGCTATATATTTGTGTGTGTTTTTGTGTATATGTGCATACACACACACACAAACACACAAACGTATTTGTGAGAAATACTCATAACATTTACAGTCCTCATTTCTGCCACTGGTTACGTGATCACAACTGGTATTTATAACTACCCTCTTCCACTACCTACTCCATAATCCCTTTGCCCTCAGCAAGCATATCAGCTGGTAGTGGTTATTTGCCTGGTGAGGTGAGCCATAATTTCATTCCTGAAGGGTCTAGGCCATTAGTAATCCTGCCTGAATTGGGTTGTGGCAGTTTTCAACCGACAACAAGTACAGGGAATGATAGTAATAAGACATGTCCTAAGAAATTCCTGTAGTCTAGACTTCTTAACTCATTTTGTAGTAGCAGTCCAATTTCCCCTTGTTGATCAGGTTCAGTCACCCCAGCCAGTACAGTAACTCCCTTCCTTCTTTGCCTGTTGATTCAGAGACATGAGGAATGCAAAGTGACTGAGTGGCATTCTTAGTTTCCAGTTTAATGGAATTATTTTTGTGTCTCCTTGTTGAAGCATTCCTCATGTTGAAATTAAGAACATTAGACAGGCAGGAATCATACTGTGGGGATTAAAAAAAAAAAAAAAACACTGCCATTGAATCGATTCCTACTCACAGTGACCCTGTAGGGTAGAGTAGAACTACTTGATAGGGTTTCCAAGGAGTGGCTGGGAGATTCAAACTGTCAACCTTCTGGTTACCAGCCAAGCTCTTTAACCACTGCGCCACCCAGGCTCCAACTGTGGGGGTAGGAAGCAAAAATTTTGCTAATAGAGCTCTAGAGGTAATAGTGAGTGTGCTGCTCCCACTTCCAGTCCTGGATTCTTG